CACAAAAAAAATAGTAAACACAAACAATAGAAAGTGGAAATGGCAGTGGCAGTGGCAGTGGAAATCGAATGGCTAATGACATTTTGTCCCCGAGTACAGTCCCCCCAAAAGGCAAGGTGCAAGGCCTGGGGGAAAACTCTTGGGCCAGCTTCGAGGCTTCCCAAGGAAAAGCCGCTCATGTCCGCGCATTTCTAATAAGCCCAATGGGGCACACCTCAGTGCAGCTCTGCTCCGTTCAGTTCGGTTCAGTTCAGCTCAGCTCGTCTTTGCTGGCCGCTCAAGTTCAAGTTGAGACCTCCGCTTGTCGGGTCTGGGGAAAAGTGGGGGAAAAGCGGGCTAGAAAATGGCGAAAAAAAGCAAAACAACAAATGGCTGGAACAGAATCGACATTGGCGCGGAATTAATACGATTTTTATTCATGACTTTTACACAGAAGAAAACTAACCAAACAAACTAATTGTATTTAAAGCGGAATTCCAGTATGAAGTTATATTAAACAATATTTTAAGTAAGAAATGAAAAGCGTTATACATTTAATGATTAAGTAATTCAATTTACTTCCATTTTACATTGAGTATACTTTATTTTCCCGAGTGCATTAGGGTGGTGCTGGATGGGCAGTGGCAGGGGAACTGGGCTCATGGGGCGATGGCGATGGCGATAGCCAATCTGCTTCAGGCCGCCGGCTGGCTTCCGTTGCCGGAATGTGGTGACAATGTCTTCTTGGGCTTTTCTCTGCCCCTACCTTTTAACCAGGGCTTTGGCTTTGGGTTTTCCCTCCGGTTTTTGTTTTGTTTTATTTTGTTTTTTAGCTGCCACAGACAATTGCATTGTTGCTGTTGCTGCTGCTTCTGGCTCCTTGGTCGTTGTCGCAATGCTAGTAATTTGTGCAAATGAGCCTCTAAAAAGGCGTGGAGCCTTTCGGATTTTGCAAAAGTGGTAGAAGGCAGGGATCGGTTAAAGCCGAAATAGACAACAACAACAACAAAAAATGCTTAGAGCGCCATTCGGGTATGTAAACGATGTGGGTCCCCAAGAAAGGAAAGCTGTTAAATGTTTTTCCCTCCATTTTCCATACCATTTGGGTTGTTTTTTTCTCTCTCTCTTTAGATTTTTGCCATTGCTCAGGCCCAGTTTTTTGTGTTGTGTCCTGTCCATTTAACCAGTTAAATTAAATGATAATACCGTTGACTTTAAATGTTAATTGAGTAGCAAGCAGCCAGGAATGATTGTCATTATTTTCCATTCCATTCAAGAAACTAAAAAAAAAGGGAGCACGTGCTCCGCTCAGCGCCAAAAGAAATAAATAAATAGCAACCATAAAAAAACAAGACAGCAATAACAAAAAAACCCAAAACAAGAAACTATTTACTATGCCTACTCTGACGTTTCGTTATCGCCGAGCTAGCAAAAAAATAAAAAAATATGGGGAAAAAATTAGCAGAGGCTAAAAAATCAAAATAAACCAAAAGTAAACATTCCGCTGGCGGCCATAAATGGGGATGATAAAGCGGAGAGCAGGGCGAAGAGTAAAAAACACGCTTGCGCCATTGAATTAACACCCCCTTTTGGCCCCTCTAAAAAACAACAACCAAATACGCACACACATTTTACTGTTACGCATGTTTTTTTCGATTTTATGCCGTATTTCACCTGCAAAAAAATAAAAACAACTTTGGTGTCTGTGTAAAGGCCCGCCACTACCTGGCTTTAAGGCCACCTTCGGCCAAAACCGCCCCGAAAGTCAGGCTTTTATTTGCTTAACTCAATTTTATTGTGACTTTTTCTTTATTTTGCGAATGAGGGAGAGAAGATTGAAAAGAAAACAAGGCACAATAAAAAATATGTGTGTCAGCTACAGCAAAAAAAAAGGAAATGTATAAAAAATGAAACCTCCAAATTAACAGGGACAACAACAAAAAAAGAGGTCGCCTTGTTTAAATAAAATAAACAAATAAAACAACAGGCAAACTCGGATATGCCCAAGAAGAAACTCCCAGAAAGAGAGAGGGGAAAGATATAAAGGCCAATTGACTCACCTCACGCACAACTAACAACTTGGCTAACAAACAATCCCAGGCATTTGTCTGCTGCTGCTGCCTTTTGACCAAAAATAAAAAACCAAACCCTCACACGCGGCAACGTCATATACGTTTATATAGATTCACCGAAAAAAACAAACAAATCATAAAAATGTAGACAGAAACTATTGAATAATAAAAAATGCGTAAGGCTATATAGTGATATTCGTATATTTATATCTATGAGTATCTGTGCTTTTGTTTTGATTTTTTGAATGGGTAAATATGCAAAGACGTTCAGAGATTTTGAATATATTGCGCATACGCACTGTGGTCCATAAATATTTGCCATTTGCATCGATCCACTTTGCCTTTACACGATTTTCCTTTGTCTGCAAATGAAATCCGAGTTGTATTTACCTTTGCTTTGCTCTCTTTCTGTGTGTTGTTTTTCTTCTTTTGTCAATTTTTCATTTCACAAATGAACATTTCCGCTTTTGTTGTTGCCGTTGACATTGGGGCTTGAATAAACGTAGATATGTGTGTGTGTTTTTAACTTGACTCTTATCGTGCAAACTGATAAGCTGAAAGCTCTGCTTTTTTTTTGGCCAGGGCACAGAAACCTCAATGAAGTTTAGCAACGAAAAACACCTTTTGTTGTTTTGTTCGCTGCCCTCGGGGGCTGTAATCACAGCAAAATCAGGCAACGACTCTTTCAAGGGGTTTTCTTATTATTATTAGCATTATTTCTTTGCTCGCGTATAAATTACACTTGAAAATTGTTAAGATTTTGATAGTCGATATCCGGGGGCCCCCTTTTGTGTTTTGTTTTTTGGTAGCTCTGAGAGTCTCTCCCTCGGCTTTGTCTCGCACTTTCCCTATGCAATTTTGGTGAAAGTTTTCCCCCGTGCGCATCTCGGGCACGTGGCTAATTCAATAAGCTTTAATTGCAAGCTGCAAAACCGCATTGAAATCAAGTCAAGAGATTTTTCCAGCAAAATTTCCATGCAATTTTCCACTAATTCCGCCGGTGCATGCAAACAACAGTAACTACAACTAACTTGGAGCTTGGTCCCTACCCAGTCTCTCGTATCCATATCGCATCTCTTACTTCCTGACACTCGGCGAACAGCGCAATGTAATTTTGCTTTCAACACCTCTTTTTTCAACCGACTGACTGTTGATTGCGGCCAGCCGACGTGGGCAAATAATGGCCAACAAAAGCAGCAAATAGCAACACACAGAGCTGGCCATTTCCCAGGCTCAAAAAGCTCAAGAGTTGGCCCCAAAATCGGGCGCGAATATATCGCATTTCAATCACGCGCCGTGGAGCCTGAGCCTCCTCCTCTAGCTCCTAGCTCCTCTGGGGCAATTTTAGCCTGGTCAGGAGGAGACCTGGTCAGAGAGCACAACATCCCATGTTGCCGGCAATGTTGCAACTGCTGCTTGCAGTTTATTAAAGCCAGCGACGAATGCTGCAAATGCTGCGCAATGGGGCGGAAAGCGAACGACGGCCTAACGGTACCGATTGTGCGCATTAAATGGCCACATCGTGATGGCCAAAATCCCCGCTTTCCGCTCGGCTCCCCTCAGGCACGCGCCTTTTTGCCGGCCGGCAAAGAAAACCAGCACAGATTCGCCATGGTCCCGGGAAATGTCGATTTATGCGCGAATTTACTTTTATGCGATTAGCAACGATCGGCGGCAGAAATTTATCGTTGAGTTTAGTAAATTTAATTGGGACGAACAGCAGCAGCAGCAGCAGCAGCGGAAATGCTGTAGAGAAGGTGCCATGGCATTAGACAAAAGGCTAAAACCTGGTAGCAGAGTAATAACATTTTATGACCAACTCTTGTCCGCTCTTGCTCTACACATTTGCACGACTTGGTGTGTTTCTTGGCCCAAAGCAGATGGCCAAAGCGATAACAAAGGCAGTGAGGATGCTCTCAGTTAAGCCGCTTAAGTCTAAAGCATCAATAATTGCAGCAACTGAAGTTGGTTGCATCTTCAAACATAAGCTGAGAGCACTTTCCATCACCTGCAGGATGAGTGGCTCCTAGTTAATCCTGGCTGTCAGGGTGTCTCCTGTAGGGCCCATAACGACGTCTCAATCGCTCAATTATGGGAATATGGGATGAATACTCGAACCCAAACTCAAACTCCAACTGGAAACTCAAACTGTAGCCTGGCACTCAGCTTGATTATGGTGCACGCGCTTATGCCAAATCAGTTTTTCTCCGTTTCAAATGCTTTGAATTTATGGCATTGTCGCGTCTTTATTATGATCCCTCCCTCAGTCTCAGTCTGGGCTGCATTGTGTGTGTGTTTTGCCTTTGTTAAATTTATTCGAGCATGAAATGCTGTTGCTGTTCATAAGGATATCTCTCACTCTCTCTCTGATTTTGGTTAAGCGAAGGTTGCCCCAAGGTTAGAGCTTAAAGATATGGGAAATCTATCTACCCCGATGATGGCCTTAAAGCCACAGCAAACGCTATGTGAGGCCATCGGAAGGAGGCCAATTAATGACGAAACAATAACACACAATGGGCGGAATTCAGCGGCCACAGAAAATTAGTTAAATGGAAAAATAGTTTTGCGATGTTTTGCATTGAAATGCCGCTGGAGGCGATTATCGTTTGGAAAGACCTCGTCACATTGTTGCTTGTGCAAATTACAACGACAACTGGGCGGTATTTGCTTTTGATGTCTAAGCCATAAGCTGACGATGCCTGCGTGTCTATATCTTTATCGTTCATATACATATATATATATATATATATATAGAGTAGAGTATGCAGATGTTTGTTGTGGGTGGTTGATAAAATCAAGAATCAGAACTGGGTCAAAGCGGCAACTAATTTGTCATTGAAATGAGGCCGGAATTTTTGAGTTTAAAAGCAGAGTCCTTGTGCTACTTAACCTTACTTAATAACCTGTAAATTTCTTAACTAAATATTTCATTTTTACTTTATTTTCCAGCTCACGGAAACGTCCGCCCAGCGATCATCATGACTATGGCAGTGATCCCAGCAAGGATGACGTGATAAAGGCATGCGAGGCCCTCATTTCTATGAAAAATCACAGTGATGGTGAGTAACTCTTACCTTATAAATAAATCCAATAAAGATTGACGAATTCTCTTCGTAGCCCTCATGAACCTACAGAGCGGTGTGGCTGATATCCGGCTGCAGGGCTCCAGTCCCGGCAGCAGCTCATCGGCCTCCTGGAGCTCTGGTTCTGCCTCACCGCCGCTGAGCGATGATGGCCACGCCCACCACAGCCCACATAGCCACATTATAATGTCGCCGCATGATGCGGCCAGTGCTCGTATACGCACAACATCCGTGTCCACATCGGATGAGGGCATTGTCATTGACTTCAAGGAGGATCGCAAGAAAAAGGTGAGTGATGCCAAAGATACATCTAGCAGATACATAGCAAAGCATAGCATAGATAGATACGCGTAGAATGCGGTCAGAAGAGGTGGAGCGTGACCGTTTGTTGCATTTTAATTGCAACTTTGTGTATAGATTTTAATTGCCATAATTATGTAAATGTCGGGCATAGCATTTTTTTTGGCACGGCCACACGGCGCATACTTGATGCGCCACTGCCGCGCACATTACTCATACGCAGTGTGTGCGCCCTCGGGGTTGGGAAATCGAAATAAATGTGGAAAGCGCCCTCGGAACGCATCAATCACACAAAAGGGCAATGTCAGCAGCTCGTTAACTTTAAAAAACACACATATACAAGAAAACAAAATCAATAGCCATTCCCCGGCTCTTTAATTAATTATGTTTGAACTTTAAGGGCCTCTCCGTCTGAAATCAAGAACCGAAACAAAACTTACGCAACCCAAAGACTAGACAAAAAATACACAAAAAAAAAGAGCAGCAAAACGCCCCCCCTTTTAACGGACTGTCCGTCTTTCCCCGCCCCCTTTTTGTTTGTCCAACAAACTGTAGGCCCAACTAGTTATAACACACCAACTGAGTGTGTGTGTGTAAGCTCGTGTGTGTTTGGCTATTTCGTTTAGAGCTTTTAAGGGCTCTTAACAGCAAACACACATAAACTGCGGGAAGAACAAATAGCAAAGTAAACTGAAGCGGCAGCAGCAGCCGCGGCGATAGAATATGTTAACCTTGAAAGTCTGATTAGATTTTCATATGGTGGTTATATTTGCTTTATTTACATTCATTCCGGCAAGCCCCAGAAAGCACACACACACACACACACTGAGAGAAAAGCGAAAAGCTTACCCACAGTCATTGAGGGGAAAATCCAATTCAAATAGCTTTTTAAACATTTCGTCATAGTGATTTATAGGAAATTAAAACAAAATACTCTTGGTGATATTATTTTGAGTGTGGAATTCCTTTTGATTTAAAAGCTAGCTTTAAACCTGACTTTTTCTTGCTTAATTCCCTTCAAAATTTCATTAATTTCATTTAATTTGAAAACGCTTTACAGTCTCTTGCCTGTCAGCAGCTGTGGCACTTTCACTTTCCATACCTGTTGCACAACCCAAAAAAGCAAAAAATGAAAACCAAAAAAGCTGACCGAAAGCGTCAAACTTCCTGCTTCGTCTGTGTCAGTTTTTTTTCTGTGGCCTGGAGTGCGCATTTGAATTTATGTCGGACTTGCCAGGCCACGCCCACCCTTTCGGGAAACAAAACAAAAAAAAAACCAAACAAACAAACAAATGCACAAAATGAACACAATGGAAAAGTTTATTTTGCCAAGGCGTGGCTGGTTAATTGAAAAGATATATGTATACATATGCCGCATTTCCGCATCTTGCATCTCAAAAGCGAACATAGCCCAGCTGTGAGGCTGAAGCGATCGCCATAGAGAACGAATGCAATTAATGTCTAATTGTGCGCAATTATTGTCAGTTTGTCAGCTGTGTGTGATGTGCCGCATCAAAATGCACTCGAGTTGCCTCGAAATCCGAATCGAAATCAATTTGTAGAGAGATCTTCAAGGCGGCCCACGTGGCGCATACGTAATGTTGAACATTACTCATACGCACTGTTGGATGCATCAATGATTAACCTTCCCTGGCGATTTAAATGGAACGGAATAAAATAATCATATGAAACAATAGTTGATTAAATTACTCATACACACGGGGTCTTTGTCTCTCGTCTACCACCATCATCGTGCTGGTTATTACTTAAAATGCAGATTTATGTGCATTTACATTTACCATTTACCATTTACCACCCATGACAGCCGCCGTTTGCCTTTTAATCAAGGCCCTTGCCATTGCAATTGCAATTGCTGGCCGCAAGGCTGCCTGGCTTCAGCTCGACTCTGCTGCCAACTGCCATTAACTGAAAGCCAAGCGGCTCAGCGTTTGCCAAGGCAACCACCACCACCATCAGCACCACCACAATGGGTGGTTAAGCGCTTCTCCATAAATCGCCCCGGCTCACCACACACACGACACGAGGAGCTGGCGAAGGCCACCAGTCGATCCTGCAGGGGAATTTAAAATACAAAAAGGCAAACCAAGGGCCTTGTGACAAGCAATCAGAGTTAACATTCTGCGGTGACAAGTGCAAGTAACTCTAGTGAATCATAAACTATATAAAAAAAGATCCATGGCTTTTCACAGAATTTTCCCAATGAAATTTCCCACCTCCGAACTTTTCCACGAAAATTTCCGCCTTAATTGGACCGTACCCTTTTTGAAAGCCGCCTCAGCAGCATTCACTTTGTAGATGCGGCTAATTGCACACGCCATATTACCCCAGTAGTATAAACTTTTCAAATTCCAACTATACTATAGCATAGTTTTTGTTTTTCCCTATTTTTTGTTGTTTTTTATTCCAACTAATTTGTTTTATAATATCAAAATGGCAACAAAAACGACAAAGCCGAAGCCAAAGGCAAAGCAAACAGGCAAATTATAGTGCACGGTTAGAGCAGACAGCGCGGCGGGTGATTCAGGGCTGCTCCTCCGCCCCCTCGCCCTTGTCAGCCCCTCCCCACCACCCTCTCTACAAGAGAGCGGGGGGAGGTGAAGGGGCGTTGCGGTTAGCTGGCATTAAGCTTTTGCAATGCCTGACAGTTGAAACACAAACACAAATACAAATACAAAGCGATGGGGGAAAACTGCATTCGCGGCCAGCCAACATGGCGCGGCACACGTGTCTTAGATTGTGTGTGTGTGTGTTTGTGTGTGACACACTCAGAAAAAAAACCCAACCAAGTGCTATGATTCTTCATTTGACAATGGCTTTCATTAATCATACATCTAGAAGTGCACTCGGAACTGTGATTAACTGTTTTAATCAAAAGCACATACTTGTGAGTGAGTCTAATATATATTTATTTCGTAATTACACAGCAAGAAAACGATGTGAGATTGATTTGTATTTAGAAATGGATTCTTTTAGAGGTGATTTTTGAATGTATTTAAAAAATATCATGAGTTTTGTTATAAAATTATGTGTAAAATTATTTTCTTGAGTGGTTTACTTAATATTTGCCAGTTTCTATTTGATTTTACTTGAATTATACAAAGTTCTTGACTTAAATTTAATGAAAAATTAAACATTTTAGGTTATTTTGAAAGTTTACTTCAAGAAATAATTGTTTCCTTATACTATGACTTTAAATTTAATTCTAAATCATGCTCAATTTCATTGTTTACTTCTTACTTTTGATTGAAATCAAGTCTCTTTTAGATGATTTAAAGAAAATAACTTTCAAATTATGAAGCAGATTCATAGAGTTATTTCTTTAAGTGTATCTATATGCTTTGGCTTAGCAGCTTTTCCCCTTTTTTTTTTGACAAATGTGCACGAGTTTTGCAGCTGGCATCAGAAGAGCGAACTAACACCCGTGGCAGCACCATCACCAGCACCAACTGCATTTGCATTTATTTTTGAACAAACCCCAAATGCTGCTGCTTCTGGCGGTCTCTCTTTAAATAAGCTTTAATTTATATTTATGATTTTGTGCTTCGCCTCACCTGTGCCTTGGCTTTGCATTATTTCGTATTTCACTGCTTCACTTTTTTGTACAAGAAGTGTGTTTATTTTTAAACCGAAAAATAAGATCGACAGAGGCAGAAATATGGTAAAATTTAATTAAAATCTGAACGAGTGCCTGCCTTTGAGGGGCTCTGCAGCAGCAGCAGCAGCAGCAGCAGCAACAAAAGCAGCAGCAGCAACCTTGAAGCGACAGCAACAGCAACAGCAACATTCACTCACCACACACACTTGAGCACCTCAGGCAAGCAACAATTGCTTTGCCTTTGGCAGCTACACAGCATCGACGTCAGCATGAGTGTTGTGTGTGTGTATTAATTTCACTCATATGGCTGTTAACCTTGAATTCTGATTAGGAAGCGATTTAAATTTATCTATAAGTCATTTTTCTTGGCTCTCGACACTCGCCTTTCATTCGCTCGCCTTTATTGAGTTATTATTAAAAGTTAATTGTGCCGCTAAAAAGCCATTTGGACCAGACCCACCCTCCTGCACCCTTTGATGTGCAATTTGCGAGGCATTAGCGAACTGCAAATGACTTGGCCAAAGTGTCGACATCTTGGCTGCGTTGGTAGATTAGGCAACACGGCGGGGCGGGCACACGGGGCGTATGAGTAATGACTGAGAAGCGAAACAGCTGGGGCGCAAAATGTAATTACACCTTAAGCAGAATAAATGTCAGCCTACACCCAGAACCTCTCTAACATATATATATATATTAAATATATTTATCCAACTTTATTGCAAAATATTCTGCAAATATTTCAAACACTAAAACGTCATTTAAACTTATCAGCAAAAGCTGACAAATGCCTCACGTCTCGAGCATTTTTTTGCATTCAACAAGCAATGCAATGCAATGCAACGCCAAGGCAAAGGCAAAGGAAATGAAAAATGAAAAATGGAAATGGAAAATTGCTGCCGCAATCCGTCAAAAGTCAGTTGCAGGAGTGCCCACACACACAAAGGCACTTGTGGTGCGTGCCAGTATGAGTGGCAAAGTGTGTCGTCGTGTTGTCGGTGTGGGAGAAACGAACTCATAAATTTGTCATAATTGCAGAAATGTGACTAAGGCAAAAATGGCACAGCTAAAAATGCAATAAAAATAAACGTACTACTTATAGCTACATACGCAGTTAGCCAGGCGATTTTCCGTATTGGAAAAATGCATATTTCGTTTGGGTTTTCCACGGCAGCAGCAGCAGCAGCAACGCTCGATCTGTGCCAAGTGCACATATGCAGGCGGAAAGGCGGAAAAGTGGAAAAAAAGCAGGCAAGAGCAACAAATGCAGCGCCAATTTTCATGTTCAAGGTGACAAAACGAAACTAAAACGAAACGAAATAAAACGAAGCCAACGGACACTCGAGCCAAAAAGCTTCAGCTCATCGTTTGGCCT